AAAAAAAAAAAAATAATAAAATTTATAACAAATTTATATAATAATTACTAAATTAGTTTATTTTTTCTTTGTATAAAATTTTTATTAGAAGACTTTAAAATTTTTAAATCAGATCTATTAGATTTAGGCTAGTATTAGCAATACAAGCTAACTATTTCTAGATTAATTTATTATAATTGAATGTTTACAGTTTGAAAATTTTTTATAGTAGTAATAAAAAAAAACAAAACTTTAAATTTTAATTAATCAGAGTAACTAAGAAAACAAAAAGATTGTCGCATCTCATCTCGGATTTATTCATTATAATAACTCACTTTATTAGTCAGGAGAAATATAAAATTAAATAACTTATATATACACACAAAAATATTATTACTTGCTAGTTACTAAATAATAACTTTCACTTTTACAAGCGCATATATTTTTCAACCAATCAAATTTATAAAATTTATTATTAACTTATAAATACAAATAAAAATACAAAATTTATAATTTATATTAAATCTATATATATATATTTAAAATTGTTTTTCAAGTAATGATCAAATAAAGCTTATTTTACATCATAATTGTTGCATAGAAATTAGAATTAATATAGTACACATTTCATAGAAAATATAATAGCATAGATGCATAAATATAATAAAAATAATGTTCATAAAACTTAATCTACATATGCATTAAAATTAAAGTATTCTAATATAAAAAGAATTTTTTAGATAGGGTAATTAAAGCCCATCTCATAAGTGGTTAGCGCATCGTTTAAATTATCTTGATTTATTATTGTTGTATTTAATAAATTAGGCAAAAAAGATAATTGGCTATTAGAACTGACCAAATTATCTAAAATGAAATTGTTCTGAACGTCAAAGATTTCATGTAAATTATGTGAATTTATTTCGGAAATTTCATTAACGTTAATGTTAGAGGAATCGAAAATTCCGAGTCCGTATTGACTATCATATATAGGAGACTGGTTTTCATCAATGAATAAAAGGTTATTTATGATATCATCATTGACTTGTTGATCCGCTTGAATTGGAAACTCAAAATTATTTGGACTCGGAGAACTATCGCTACTAGATGTTATTGATAAGTCAGGACTCGGATAAGTATTTTGATTACTAAAGAAGTTTGCCCAATCAATAAATAAATCATGGTCAAAAATTGGTGAATTCATATCAATATCATTTAAATCATCAAGTATGGAAGATAATAAATTGTTATTAGAAGTAGCTTGGAGTTCAGATACGGGTGATTCAAGTTGTTTATGTTTTTTGGATTTATTGACAGATTTCATAGGTTTAGGAATTCTGGCTTTGCGAACAGAAGGTTTATCAAATGAAACAGTTTTCCATTGGTCTCTCTTCTTTTGAGGTTTTATTTTAGGAAATAATTCATTACGATAGTTGAAGGCTTCTTTTGCGATTCTTTTATATTCATTTTTTACTTGCTTAATTTATTCTTGAAAGAATATTTAAAATTTACTCTAATTATTTATTTTAAATTTTTGTATACTATTAAAGTTAAATTACTCTAGTTAAAATATCTCAAAATTATAATTAACAAGACTATAATTAACTATTTTTGTTTAAAATTACTAAAAAGCTTATTAATAAAGTTATAATCTATTTATTAAATAAAACTATTTAGTTTAAAAATCTCAACATAGATGTATTTTACGTATTTAGTATTTAACCATAAGTTTAATTACAAAACGGCTTATATCAGATATTACTTTCTAATCTACGTATGAATACCTTATAAAAAAATATGCTATTTAAAATTATCGCATTCTAATTTGCTTGTATATTAATAGTTAATTTTTTGTTATTACTTATTATATATTACTGTACTAACTCTACAACCTTCATATTAAACTTTAGGACTAATGCACTAATATATAAAGTTCTTGCCTTATAAAACGCTGCCATTTTATTACTAGCATTGATTATATGAACTAAATATGATGGTACGTCTTTAATAAAGTTATGCTGATTAAAGATAGAATAAAATGCTATTTACACTAAATTTGTTATAGTTATTGCTTGGGTACGTAGTGAATAACTACATTATTGCACAGTGTCTGACGTACAATCCCGTGCAATAACCAAATGAAAAAAGCACGGGTTGTTAAATAAGACCTATGCAATAAATCAGCTTTGCATTTCTGGGTAATTTTTAAATTTTACGTTGAGAATTAAAAAATTAACTTTGCATGGTTTTAATCAACTGATTAGTTAAATTGGAACCCCCATAAATACATAATTATCACTTCTTTAATTACGTACGTACTATCAGGATATTGAACCAATTTTATTTTTATATGCTAGACCGATTAAAACCGGTTCTAACGTATGAAAAATAAAACCAGTTCCAAACTCTACCTACTATATTACGTGAACAGTTTTCAAGAAAAAAACTATTTTTATTAAAGATTTTATTATACCTCGTCATATCGAAGACACAGCTGTTGTTGTTTGAAGTTGCTATCCCAAACAATAGTGACAATATTATAAATGGAAATGTATACATTATGTACTTGAAAACCCCAAGTTTTTCTTATTTACAAGACATTGCCGGAATTTTTATCGTTCATGATAAAAAATTCACACAGCCACTGTGGTGTACAGCTTGTTCACACTTTGGAGCGCCATAGCTCGATAAAATTATTGAATGTAACATAGCATACTAATGCAGT